GAATAACTGTTATACTCAAAAAATTTGTATTTTTACAAAAAATCTGACATTGACCTCATCTTTTTGTGTTTTCAAAAAACGATTTAAATTTACCTTGGAAACACTCAAACTGTCAAGGTGTCTTAAATTACGTCACGTCGTGTTAAACGAATCATATATGTTATATATATGTATATATATATATAGCAATTGTTAGTTTTCCTTAATTAATAAAAAGTGGCTAAAACTTGTAAGTAAGGATGACGCTCATAGTTTATCGAAAAATTCAAGAATGTATTTTTATGAAGATCATTTTGATATAAATACCTTTATATACCGAGTGTAACAAAAATAAGTGCCGAGCTTGCAGGAGATAACAAAACATTAAAATGAAGTAAATGTTTGTATGTCCGAATGTTCACACTTTTAGAAGAAAACGTAGTTGAAATTACAGGTAAATTTAATTCCGGCCCTGGCAAACAAATACGGCCCGCATAGCTGCACTCCATCAGCTGGTGATTGCCAGCATCAGTATAGTATTTGTTTTGTATTTTTTTACTCATGTATTATTTATTTGTTAGATTAGATTAGAGATAGCTTTAAATAAAATGGAAGCGGTACTGACAGATAAGTACTGTATGAAAATAAATAAAAGTAAAACTAAAATACTGGTATGCAAGGGTATAAAAAGTAGGGAAAGAGCGAATATAAAGATAGGAGATGAAAAATTAGAAGTGGCTGCTTTTAAATACCTAGGAAGTCAGATAAGTCAGGATAGAAGGTCACTTCTATGCTCGCGAACGGTTAATTTAGAAATTCGAAAAAGGTTGTTTAAGGTGTATGTTTGGAGCACGACGTTGTACGGGTGCAAAACATGGACAGTGGGCGCGGCGGAAAGAAAAGGTTAGAAATGTTCGAAATGTGGTGTTATAGGCGGATGATGAGGATAACGTGGGTAGAAAAGGTTAGAAATGATGAGGTATTGGAAAGAATAGGAGAACAGAGGACTCTATGGAAGTCAATAAAAAATAGGCGAGATAGGTTGGTAGGACACCTTCTCAGGCATGAAGGTCTAGTCAGAGACATATTAGAGGCAGAAACAGGAGTTAGGAGGGGTAGAGGTAGACCTAGATTAGATTACTGTTCGCAAATAGTTAAGGATGTGGGCTGTTCTAGTTTTAGGGAAATGCGAAGATTAGCTCAGGATAGGAAAGAGTGGAGGTACCTGTCCAACCAGTCTTAGTAGGACTAACGATCTTATGACGATGATGAGATTAGATTAAGTGCAATTTAGGGTGTTTATGTTAACAGCAACCTTTAGTATTTATTTTTTTTTTAACGTTTAAACTTTGTATGAGGCAATCGATATGCAGTTCAAAAAAATAATTCAACATCAATTATTAGTAGATCAGTCACTGTAGAGCGGTTGTTGTTACAATAATGATATGTATTACGGGTTCGAACCATATAGATGCTGTAGGGACGAAATTCTCAATTTTAAATAAGAAGACAATCCCCAAAATAGTACACGCGAAATAGCACGGAACGTTGGCTCCTTTTATGTGATAGTGTGGCAAATTTTAAAGGGACCAGTTACTGCATCCTTATCATTTGCAGCAAGTGCAAGTCTTGCTTGAAACTGATTTTCAGTCGCGAGTGTATTTGTGTCGGTGGTTTCGAATATGTTGCATATGGTATTTTTTGAAGTGAAACTTCTTTACGCACGGTAGAGTAAGTTCGTTTCATGCGAGTTGCTATGTAACGAAATCATGCAACGCATTTCCCCCGCTGTCTGTCCCTATGTATGCTTAGATCTTTAAAACTACGCAACAGATTTTAATGCGGTTTTTTTAATAGATAGAGTAATTCAAGAGGAAGATTTATATGTTTAATACATGCATAATATAATAGAGAAACACTGATAATTTTAGAGGTTTGTAATGTGATGTCATAAATAAACACATTTTTTGCGCTTACATTGCAAACGCTGGCTGAACCCTACGAGATCAAAATAATATACTACAGTATTGTACACCTTAAAAAGTTCTACAAAAAAGTCAGCGATGGTAAATGTCTATCTCTTACGGATAACCCACAATAACCATTTTTTATCCTTTACTCTTTACGAGAAATAATGACTTATTTACGAAGCGATTTTAAGCAATACTGCATTAATCCTTATCCAAGTACTTTTAAATACATTGTGCATTTAATATAGATTACAGCATGTAATTTAAATGAATATTTTCGAAGATACTACAGACTTAAAATGCAGGGACATAGCGGTTGCGGCGGTACCGGACGGTTTGTATTGTCTAATGACAAAAAAGCTGTTATTGTTGTATATAAAGACATTCTATAGTATATTTACTATCAGCATTGCACCCGTGCGAAGCATAGTGTACAAATAATACCATTAAACAAATTCCTTAACCCCTGTCCCGTTATGTGTGTGTTTGAAGAAGTTTCAATTCAATAGCGTGTTGTATAATTACACGTTTTATTTTTTATAGGGTGTTGTTTACAGTCAAATTTACTTCACGTGGGACGGAATTTTAAATTTTCACAAAAATTACTATTGGTGCGTTCGCAAATTCGCATGTCATATATTCTTCGCGATTACAAGAAATGTTTTCGGTAAATGCGTCGTTCGAAATTTTTGGATTTATTTGACTTTTTTGGTAAATTAACTTTGAGCCACCCGGAAAAAAGTAACGCACCTTGGAAATATCTTAATGGTGGTGTGTTAACCCACAAATGTTTACGTACATAACTTAATATTTTTTCTTATGTGTTAGTTCATTTACAGTTAAACGCTGCCTGTAGGGTTTTTGGTCGGAGTGTTACATTCTTTGTATTTGTATTTTTCTGCTAACAATGGTTTTACTCTTTACATCCACAGTTCTCGGCATCACATTTGTCAGTATTTAAATACAGGTACTTTTTAAATTTGTAAACGCTTTTCCTGCTTCTTTAGAGTTAGAAAGGAAATCAACTTGACAATCTTTATGAATTTTTTCGATTCAATTATTTACAAGATTTGTGTTGCGTAATTTATTGTAATTTGATTATTATAAAAGTTTCAGTCACTATTTCTGCCTGTATTATTACAATTAACTACACAGCAACTACTATGGACCACTTTTAATATTACGTTTTACTTGTTTGCCCTGAACGTGACCATATTTAACGAAAACATCACAACTATCGCTGCGATCGCAATTGTCCCCTCCATACACTTCGCTTTCTGCCAATAACACACATATAAGCTGTGAACTGTTGAAAACGAAAATTCTTCATAATTCCTAAACCTAATATTTTTTTATAGGGATTTGGTAATTTACCGATACCAGCACAAAGGCTAACTAGATAAACATCGTTTTGTTTGGTTTTAAGCATGGTGCACTTGGGATGTATTAGTATTGTACAAAGGGTTCCTGTACTCAACTAAGTCAACCACCTACTACATTTAGAAGTGTCTAATTTTTATTTTCTGGTTTCATTTATTTATCACAGGTTTCTACTTAAATTAAATAAATTAAAGGAAACCTTAAGTAGCATCTCATAGTGCCTTACTTACTTACTTAATGTATGTATAATGATAAACGTTTTGTATGTATAAAAACACTTTTTAGCATACCTACAAGAAATGCAGTTGAAGCATGGATCTGCAGTATATTAATCAAATCAAGTAATACATTTGGGTGTAATCTTGAGGATAGTACATATATTTGGTTTTCTTAAGATTTAACACAGCTAGTAAAATGAACTGCCACTACATGCCTCTGCAGTTCATGTATAGTGCATTTCAAAAGTGTAACGTTGAATACGAACGTGCTTATTACAGATGGCACTTAACTTCGCTGGAAATTCTCATAAATGTTCCAAAATTTTAAAACCATGCTGATTTTAGCATCCATTTTGCAGATAAAATATTAAATCGATTATAAATAAACACTGTTTGATATTATAAATAAACAGTTAGGTAATTGTTTTTATTTGGTATCAAGGAAGTAATGCAAATTATTGTAAATTTATTTGCAAAGAGTTCCCTCTTATCAAACAAATGCTGATTAATTAATAACAATATAAAATGTAACGATATGTTTTGAAATACTTACTCGCCTGATTCAACAAAAGCCATGTTGACATAACCATCATTCTTCTTTGAAAACGTTGGAACCGTTTGGTTATATTTACAGCTGGGTTTAAAGTGATCACCATAAACGGACTTACGCGTCGAATTTTCCTCACTTATATTTTCTCTACAAATTAAGTTGTTACTATTCTATCACTTAAATTATTCATTTATTTGCTATTTTTCAAAACTTACGAAGCTAGTTTCAATTCACAGATATCCATCAATTGACCGATTTCCAACTGCATCGTGCTATTTTTTAAAAATCGATTGCGACCGTTATTACTCAATAGAATTCTGTAACTAAAAAATTCTAGAGATTAGTAATAGCAATATTGTCATCGTTTTGAGGTCTTAACAATGGAATAAGTATGCTTTTATCACTTTTTTTGATTCATTCTTTTTGCGATTACAATAATTGGCTATTCATTATTCATAGGTCTTTTATCAGTTTTAACTTCTGTATATACGAAGTCTAACAATTTAGGTACATTACTTAATGTCAAACATACTATGTAAATATGGCAAGAACAGCATGACCATTGTTTTGTGTATATCACATTGTTAACTGACGTTGTACGTAATAATTGGCTTACTATATACGATAAATTTAATTTTGGTAGTAGGTACTAATATTGTTGTTCGCACTTTTATTTAAGCAAACCCATTTTTAACATTCTAGCCATTGAGAAGTTATTGTAATGAGTTCCAAAATCAAAAATATAGTTTTTAACATATTTAGAAATGGTGATAAGAGTTGCAACGTAATTCGGACAATTATATGTATGAGTGTGAGTGTGTGTGCATCTGTGTGTGTACATAAATACAACTCGTTTCAAACGGGTAGAGATGTGACCTTGAGGAAAGCTGCCCGAATAGAAGGAATACACACTAAGCATAGGCAAAACAGAAATAAATACAAACAATGTACACTATTTTTTGTCAGATTTGTGCGGAAAACTCGTCATTAAATTGATAGTTGGCGAAATAAGAGTAAATTATTTAGAGGTTAGGAAGTCAAAAAAATTATACCGACTTCATTGAGGTACCGAATAAAGCATATTAATAACAATCTGATCTGAAAGAAACTCATATTTAGTCAAGCCGTTTACGTATATGTTTAACCGAACAGACTTGAAAAAAAATTAGATTTGGGAAGTTTTGTAAACAAAATCATAAATTTATTCAGATTGTTATATTAAAGCATCATATAATAATTCTGCACTAATGGATGTTTTATTTAAACGTCAATGAAAACCAAAAATAATTTATTTTCAACAACCTGAGTTAAAAAGAAAAGGACATAGACAGACGGTCTCCACAAACCTAACACACTTTTGTTTTTTCATTCCTATTCGACTATATACAATAGATTGTAGTAGCTATGACGGTGATATTGATGGTTTAATGTATCTATGGAATATTATCATGCTATTATTAATAAGATGATAATATACTGCTTGTTTGAATAATATAGGGTGTTTCTGAAATAATTTTAGAAACACCTTGTATATTAATATTAAAATTAAAACGATGTACAAAATGCGAAGGTCGAGTTGTCACCGGCTGGTCCATATAGTCGAGTTCGCAAAATAATTGATTCTCAGATTAATAAATTGCTATTGTAATATAACAGATTAATGTAATATGTTAAGTAAATTGTTAACCAATAATTTATATGATATATGTGTGTACATAATAAAAAGTACAAGGTGCACAAGCAAATTTCTAGATTTGAAATACTTAAATTCTTTCAAAACGTTTAATTATAACAAAACTTCAACGACTTCGTATTTTATGCATTTGTAAATTAATTTTTGAATAATTTTACCCACTATAGTTAACTTAAAATTAATATGAAATAAGCTACGAAACCAACGTATGTGCAGAGTATTATTAGCAATGAGGCACTGAATTTTTGTAGAGTTTTTGAGTATTGGCTTCGTATTTTGTTTCAGTTTTCAGGACAATTAAATATCATGTTTTGTAATTTATTCATTTTAAGCATAAGGTTATTTTTATTAACGTTGTTTGCAGAATAGACATTATCCACCAATGTAATGCAACTAGAAATTATATTTTTTTTTATTAGATGATTATTTGAAGGTAATAAAATGCTCCTACTCTCGTTCCTGTTTAGATAAGAATTTCGCGTCACTGCAAATTACAGGAACCTAAAAGTTTTGAGGTAATGATAAAGCAATTTGAACTAACCGAATTCCAATTATCAACGATTATGTTAATTCCTAGCTTTTACTGAAGTTCACAAAGCTTCCAAGGGATCTGTCATTATTGCTATACGATTCATGGCGGTAAGTCACACTAATTTGCTTCAAACTAACAAAATGATAAATATTATAAACAAGATAAACTTACATAATTCCGGAAATAGTGAAAAACCTCTTTAAAACATTTAAAAATATTTACACATATCTAAATCATTGAAGGAGTGAAGGAGTTTGAATAAAACATAATATTGCAAACAAACTTTAAATGTCTATAAATCTATCAACCACTGATATTTAACCTAATCAAATGAAGTCACAAATTGCAAATAACAAAATAGTCTATTTCCGCTATCAAACTAAATTAGTTTGCCAAAGTTTTATACATGATCAAGGAGTGTAAGCAGTAGCGTACTTAGGCGCTACCGAACAGTAAAAGTATGCATTTATTTTTCATGTATTAATTCTGTTATTATTTGGTTTCGTTTAAATTCAACAAAGGAATTAACAATGTATTTGTAAAGGTAAAACTACTTATCACTGATTTACAAATTTTGATTTTAAAAAATCATTCTTCATGTAATATATCTTTTTTTATTTATTTTTACGTACTGAATACAAAAATAATTGATTAATACATATCAAAACTAGTTTTCCTCTTTTAGAAAAAAAAATTAAACGATTTTTGCAACAATTAACAGAAATTATAGTTTTTTATTCATTACTAGAATTGCGATCTGGTTCTATCGTTGCCCTCTTGTATTTTGCTTCTGCAACATTTCCACGAGCAGTCCAGCAATAATCCGTCAACATTGAAACGTTCCAATGGCCTTGATACCGTTTTTCCACGTTTACGATATCCTGATGGAAGCGCTCCCCATGTTAATCGCTAAAAGCACCACAATTACCCGGAAAGAAGTTCACATGAGAATGTACTAAGTGAATTTTCAAGGACATGTTACAACTCAGTTTTTGAAATGATAACATATTTTCGATAAGTTCAGCACAGTTGTCACTCCTCTTATATCCCAAGAAGTTTTTTACGACAAGGCGAAAATCGTCCAAGGCTTTTTTCTTCTAGAACCAAGTCAAAGTAGTTATCTTTAAATAAATTTTTTATTTGAGGACCGACGAATATACATTCCTTGATCTTAACTTCATTTAATCTTAGAAATTCGTTTGAACATTTAAAAGAAATCAAATTTCGGTATTGCTTTATACATATATATCATCCATAGCTGTAAAACATCCTATGCTAATAGTAAGAGAAAGAATGATTCTTAGGGTACTAGTTGACGATCTTTCTATTCATTGACGGGTGGCTGATGGTTTTAAGTTTTAAATTATTAAGTTAAGTAGTAAAACATATCAAATGATTTTATATTTTCGAAAATTCATATTATTTCAATTGATATTTATATATTATTTATTTATATTCAGTTTTTCCTTCCACTCCCCTTCCGGACTAATAGTACCAATACTCCCCTAACTGCTGACAGTGCTACCGATAACCGCCGGGCCCTGTGCTCTTTCACCTGTAATAGTAGTAGCATTAATTAAACCCAAGTTATATACGTATTTACAAAAAAAACAGCAACTACAACAAACCAAAATACCTTAAAACCATGAGCACTTACTGTTTAAACCAATTAAAAGGTATTATTAAATTTATTATATTTCTTAAATTTTCTTTAATAGGGTAAGCCCACTACCATCCTCTCTCACCAATTCAACACATTAATCTACTAACCTTCCGTCCTCACACCACTTAACACATGCATTAGATTCTCATCTTTTACTCCACATTTTCTTTCTTCTTCATTCATCCGTTAAATTTATTACCTACTCTTAATCTAGCCAGCATATTCATTTCTCTTCCTCTTCCTAAATATCTTGGCATTAAATCTCTCTGCCAACCATCACATAACATATATAGTTAAGTTTAAACGTCGATATTAACTTTTTAAAAAGTATTTATTGAAAAAAAAACAAAAAGAATACAATTAAAGATAATAGCGACGTTAACAATTACGACCTCACTAGTACTATGACTAATATGAAGTGAAGCTTTGAAAAAATGAACAGTTTAAATAGTAAAATAGATCATTTAGAAATAATTAAAAAGTATTAAAAAGTTATAAAGTCTTCCCCAGAGCTTAGAATGTTCTAGAAGTACTTTTACTTTCTACTGCCTTGAAACATAATGGAGGTTTTTGGATGTAATTATATCTATCCTATCGCATATCTGGATTTTGTTATCTTTCTTAAGTTTTTCCCTCTTAATATTTTCTCACATCTGTTTTTAACCCTTTTTCCTACATTCCAACCCTTTCTTTCTCGTTCATTTAACTGCTCTTGGTTAATTTTTTAAATCATTAGTGCCTGTTCCCTTTCCCTCCCAAACCCATTCTGTCTTCCTGTATTCAATATTCTCTTTCACATATTCTTGTTTGATATCCGTCTCTTGTAATTTCCTTATTTTCTCTTCATATTCTGCAGCCCTTTTAAATGTTCTTCTAACATTTTACCTCATTTTGTTTCCCTCCCCAATATGTGGTCTGGTGTGCTCTTATCTAACTGTAACACCCACTTTACATATTTTTATAAATGCTTTCTAGTTGCTCATGTTCTTTCCAACCCCAGATTTCTGTCCCATAAAATAGTACATTTTATTAGCAGTAATAAGTACGTTTATTAAATTTTTAGCTAGACGCGGATCGTGATTTCGATCTTACTGTTTATCATCAGGAAGTCTCGATAATTCAGTGGTCAATACGATAAAGCTCTTAAAAAGCGAGTTTATACTATAATATCGAACTACAGGAAGATTATTGCTATCTAGTTTAGTCCAGCCAACCAACGATTTAGGATCCGAATTTGTTCAGGAGATTCCTATTGATCTCAAATTTTGACACTAAGTAGGGAATAGCACTAGATTCAAAAGTTATATATTGCCAATGTGCTCTTTTGTCCTGAGGGTCAATAGCACCCCTTGTCGGAGGTTAAATAAAAAATAACCAATAGTACGTAGAAAAAGTTTGAGCGGTTTATAGGGCATAGATTTGGAAAAAAAAGTTCTATTGTATAATCGCTCTGGAAAATTTTATACATATTACAAGAGTAAAAAAATGTAGATTTTTTGATGACAAAATTTTTCGTTTTTTTTTTGTACAGTGAAAATTAACTAGATATGCCCATTTTAAATACAGAATTGAGTGCGCGGACACCCCATTCCAAACTTTTTAAACTGAAATATCTCAAAAACGATGGGTTTTGGAGGGTTGAACATTTGAAGCTAATTTGTAACCCTTAAAATTTTGGAGCACATTTACATTTAATTTATCAATATGTGTAATATGTCATTATTTTACGAAACCCAGAGTATAATTTATATAAGTTATAAATTTACTTTTTTTGTAACTAAAAATTTTTTTTTCGAATACTTTCTGACAACTATGTTGTTCGGATGAGGAAAAAGCTACAATTTTCATAGACGCTCTCTGTCTCCAGTGCTCGCCACTTTCCAGCTGTGTAGATATTGCCCGCCTTCACGAGCAAACCAACGCCGGAGCAAACCAACGCCGCCTTCCAAAACTTCGCCCTTACTGTTTCCGACTTTAAACACACGTTTCCCGTTAAATCTTTCTCACCACCCATTCTTTGAAAAGGAGAAAAGCCCTTAGCGTGACAGGAATTCCCAATAATGTCCTAAAAGTCCTGTCATCAAAACACATAACCTCACCCTCAAACATCACAAACGCTACCATGCGGCTCCACTACTTCCCTCTTGTCTGGTAAGAAGCTATCATTATCTGTCTTCCCCAAAAAGGGAAGCCCTTAAGCCCTCCCTCAAGCTACAGGCCCATGGTCGGCTCAGTTCGCTGAGCAAAGTAGTTGAATCCATCCTTTTGGACCGGCTTCTTGGCTATGTGGAGCGAAACATACTTCTGCCCGACACTCAACACGGCTTCTGCGGCATCGGCCATCAATTCCTTCGTGTTTATTACTGTTCTGACAACCTAACAAAGCGCTATCTTACTTTCATTCTTCCGCTTAATATCCAGCAAGCCTTCGATCGATTTTGGCATGAACGTCTCATCTTCAAACTTATCGCCCTCAACAACCCTAATTGGGGTTTCCGATTCCCACCGCCTACAAATTCTTCAAGACACTTATATGCGGATTCGTTGCTCCACACTCAACTACCCCTGGTTCGTGAGAAACATCCAAATTCTAAAAGAAACTATTCTACTTTCACTCCTCTAGGCTACAAATCACGCAATCACCGTCCATCTCGACACTTTCCAATTTCGCCTCTAAACCAAACGACCGTTTCAGAAGGCCCAGCCATCTGCTGCTTCCTTTTCGCTCATTCCTAGTTTCGTTTTTTTTTTGCACACAGGGATGTTCAAAATGATCCTTTACTAGACTTTCACGAAAACATAAAAAAAATTACTAATATCTTATGTGATTCAACGCTTACTAACATGTGGTACAGTATTGGGTTTCTTTTTAATAAATAATACATTACAAAATTTTACTACGCAATGTATCCGGCTTTTAAAATCTTACCACCTATAACTTTGCTGGTAATTAACTCAAAAACATATGTTTTTCGTGGTTATTATTTTTTTACACTTTTAAAATACGAATTTTTAAAATTGTTAGTTATATTTCATCCTAATAAATATAGAACAAATATACGGTGATCAATTTGAAAGAGGGTTTCTGTATTAAAGCGTATTATATGTAACGCCACTGATATAAAGTCATACTATTCAACAATACTCGATGAACCTATTCCGATTGAATTGTACTGTTGTTCTGTAATAATACAACACCACTCCCTACTAAAAATTGACAATGGAAACTTTTGACGTCTCCTGCAATAGTTACCGAAACGCAGATATTTAGAATCATCAATTAACAACATTGAAATATTTTAAGTTGGATAATTATGAAACATATTCGTCGGTATGAAATAAAATAAAAGAAAATTGGTCTGAGCACATTTTGGTCGGTGCTAATACGACTAACTTCCCATTAGATAATACAGTTATTGTAAAGTACATTCGTTTCTAAAGTTTGAAAAAAACGCGGCACAATAATAAATAACAAACAATGTTTGAGAGTTCGTCATTTTATAAACCCATAAGAAACAGTATTTCGTCTGAGAAAACCGAATTGATAGAGTACTTGCATCAGTCAATTGGTAAATACTATTTTTTATTGTTTATCGATTGTTTATAACAATTCATTTTGTTATAAACAAATTTTTATTATAATATGTTATTATAATATGTTATTCCCTGTCTTGAATAATGATATTTCGTTATTATTGATTCCGTAACTTCATTGTTGTGATTAGATTAGAACGTATTTTAATTAAATTGTTTGTAATTAATTCGTTTTTTTTTTTATAAAAAAAAAACGGCTTGACCGATTTCGTTCAAATTTCTTTCAGATCTTCATTATGATAATATCTTTCGAAAAAATTTTGGTTGAGGGCGATATCTCAATCCGTTCTTGAGATATCGAAAACGAAAAAAATGCTGACATACGAACGTACGTACATACGTACGTACGTACGTACGTACGTACATACACACATCATCAAAAAAATTGGCTAGCATGCTACTAATATGTTAAAACGTGGAAATATAATGAAAATTCCGATTTCACTTTTCGACCCAATTACAATAACTTCCTAATGGGAAGTTAAAAATTCGTTTTTGTGTTTCAAAAAGTATAATAAAAGCACTGCAAATGAAAATTGTTTATTTGTCATTGTATGCCTTTATCAAAAGTGGTTGTCAGCTCTGCAACTAAGTTTATTCATTCTTCTAAATAATAATAAAAAAATTAATTCATTTCAGATTATTAAAACAAGCAACTATGATAATTTTGCATTAAAGTATATTTTCTGCAGCAATTACATACGGCGATCTTTACCCCTACCTATGAATCACACCGTCGGCAATGACACCTTTTATTAGAACATAAGCTCGCACTTTTGCATTCCATTACGTTTAGCGCGAGTGTTCACTCATCTCATCAGAGATGGGAAAACTATTTTCTACGTTTTCTTCCCCAACACTCCCGTCTCCTCCCTACATTCAACGCTTCCCAATTCAATCCTCTTCCCACTCTCAACCTTTACATTTCTTTCTCGGGGATGAATAACCTTTGGATTGATTTTCCCACTTAAGTAGGGGTTTTAGTCGGTAAAAATCCGACGATACCTCTCTTCTGGAGGTATCTTTTGAAGGTTGCTCCTCGGGAATAATCTAAGCAAAAAAAAAATCGTTCCAATAACTTTCTACTCTATAGGTTTGACCTATGTCAGTTTGTTCATTTGTCATAAATAGTGTGTAATAATTAAAATAATAAAGGTTCCTGTAAAAACAAAACCAAATAAATGTGTTAAAACAGTGTTTTTTGTGACATCGTACGTTTTAACTTGCGAAACCAACGCTCAATTTGATGGTTCTCCCAAGAAAGTAGATAGATTTCAGATTGTGATAATTTTGA